TAGTTACAGTGCAGTTTTGGTGTGAATGGACCCCAGGTCATCAAAGTTGATATCTAACTAGGAATAGCATTAATATCACCATATAGTCAAAAATAATTTACAACCATTATATGGTCCCTTTAAAATCCTTCAGCAAAATGTCAAAATATTAATATACATAGAAGCAAAAAGGTAATAGTAGTGTAACATGTGTTTAGCTAAAGTAATGACCCAGACCTTAAACATTACAAATATAAAATAAATGGCTATACTGTACTTCACTGACCCTACAAGGGTGACTCCTAAATAGAGACTCCGTGTGACAGGAGCCCAGTGGATCCCAAACACAAATCACTTCAAATACAAGCTCACATCCCAGCGCAGGTTAACACCATGAGGGATCCTCATTTCTAACTTCAAACAAACCACCAGGTCTCATGTTCCAAGAGTGTATGACACGTGTCGCCTCCTCTCTCATGAGTGTCGCCTCCTCTGTCACCCTCTCTACACCATGGAAAGAAAAAGATGTCATATTGCCACCATGGACATCATGAAAATGTTTAGATACATTTGAGGGGCAAAGTGCATTGATATTTATTGCGCCGCAGTAGTTCACCTATTTGCACCCTTAATGAGCGAATGTTGATACAGCCAATATATTGCAAAGAACACTTTGTACATGTAATCAAATATATAACAAGCAAATGTAGAATAATACCCAATGTATCAATACGACCCACTGTAACTCTAAGGTGATGGCAGGAGACGGCAGTGCCTCAAAATAGGATCTTTAGAAATAGAATGTTGGGACTCTGAATCTCAGTGAAGCATGACTGCCCCCTGTGTGTCACTGTTCAAACATGTTGTGGCAGTGCAGCTAGGACCAAAGTGTGAGGCACAGCCTGAGTTACTTGCAAATCTTAGGGCAGCCGGTGCTAATGAGGGTTGGGCGACTGGAGGTGACCAGTTCCACTGTAGGCACTTCAACAAGGGTCATGCAAGTAGGAGCAGCTGTGGGGTGTTGATTCCTCTATCTGAATAGTGGGACACCTAGTGCAGAGCACGTTAGCAACACTTCACCCAGCAGATAATGTCAGCATCTGGCTAGCCCCATGTGTCCAGTCCAGTGGGATCCAGATATGGCCTCCAAAGCTAGACGCAGATCCAGATAGCTGCTATGCAGAGCCTAGCTTAAGCAGCGATTTAGTAAGGAATCTTCATTAATCTCTACAGAAGATGAATTCAGAAATAAAAAATGAAAAAAAGAGACTAGCAGAGCTGGAGAAAAGATGTCCATCCTCCAAGGACATTAGCAGAAGACTGAGGCATGCTGGGTAGAGCAGGGGTTATATTGGGGCTGGCTTATGATTTTTCTGTTTCAGTGTCCACTCCTCCTCTAGGCAGTAACATAACCTGACTGCATCAAAATTCCTTATGTTTCTTAAAGGGCGAGAAATAAATATCTACGGTTATGGCAATTAACACATTATAGCATAGTGAAGTGAGTCTATGCAGTGAGTTTTTTTTTCCCACTTGCCCCAATGTATTTTAAACTTTTAATCAAGTGGTTTAGGGAAATGATTAAAAAGTAATCCGGGGCTTCCCTACAGGTATGGGACATGAAAATGCAATGATTCCCTATGATGACCAGCTGTTCAATCTGTTGATCCCGTGTTTTTTAGGTTTCCACAACTCATAGCAAATTATTATTTTTTTCCGTCAGTGGTGGAAAGCCTGCTCTCGTCAGTATTGAGCTCCAATTATTTGCTGGGTGGCCCTTATGTTTAAAATCACTTTAGGCCTGGTTCACACCAGGGCGTTTTACAGCGCGTTCCTGCGCATTGTAAAACGCTCAACATGTGAAAACCAATAATTGCCCATGGGCATGGTTCCCACCTGGGCGTTTTACAGCGCGTAGGAACGCGCTGAAAAACGCCCTACGCCCAAAGAAGTACAAGAGGTTCTTTGGGGCGTTTTTCCATTGGTATTATGCAAAAAAAAAACGAGCAGAAAAAATATGCTCAGGTGTGAACCTAGCCTTAAAAGAACCCCAATAATGACTGTTATGTGGGCTGGTAGGAGTCCACTTTGCGCGGGGACACCAGCTGGCAAGCTGATAGTCTCTGGAGGGAAAGGATTATTTTTATAAAAAATAACAAAAAAAATCCTTTCCAAAAATGTAACCTGTTTAAAGGAGAACTATGGGGTTAGGGCTTTTCCCCATAGTTCTCCTTAGGGTAACGGGAGGACACAAACTAGCGTCCTCCCGTTACCCTAAGCTCAGAATACGGCGAGCTACAGCTCGCCATATACTGAGATGCCGCAGCTGAAACGGATCCCGACAATTATGTCAGGATCCGCCCAGCTGCGTGAGTGACAGCTGGCTCTGCCTATCTAGAGGCAGAGCCAGCTGTACCCGCCCCCTCCCTAATCCGATCCGCCAGGATCGAGAGGTGAGCGAACGCCGGTATGTGTTCGCTCACCTCCCGATCTACTGAGCCGACCTGTATCAGATTGATGTAAATAATGGTAATATAATTTTGTGTTTAATTATTTAATCTTGATTTGTGTGGAGTTTTTATTTTTTTTAAGTGTATTATAGAAGTATTTTATAAACACATTTTGAGATCAAATCAACAGGATAAGCATCATAAAAGGTTTATTTTCAGTTCTTCGGAGCAGACTGGTAAGCTTGCTCCAAACAAAACAGTAGATAGCAATTACTGAGCAGTGCCACTAAGCAGTAGGCACAGCCTACATTTGTAATGAGCAAATTTTGTCTGCCCTCACATAAATATGATACATTAACCACTTGAAGACCAGGTGTTTAGACCCCCTTCCTGGCCAGGCTATTTTTCAGTATTCAGCGCTGCGATACTTTGACTGACATTTATTCCGTCACGCAACGCTGTACTGAAATACATTTTATATTAACCTGTTCATATGTGCTGTGTGTGCACTCATTGCTCCTGATTTGTTAGAGAATAGAGGCTGCCATGATTGGTTTTTCACACAGGTGTTTTTCTCAGTGACTGATTACTTTTATGTGCTAGTGTACACAAGCATTTAAGATCCCCTATAAACGTCAATACATAATAAACATATGGAAGACATCTAAAATACCAATTCACACTAGCCTTATAGCGACGTCTCTTGAGAAATATCACAGCAATCAAACTTACTGACTTTTTTTTATTCTCTTCTCTCTTTTTACCAGACTATCAACTTCGAACACAGTAAAGAAGTGGCCATCTTTGTATTTTTTAGTAGTTATTTCTTATTTGAAAAATCAGTTAGCTATGCGTGGATCAAGGAAAGTATGTACTGAAGGTCACAAGCTCCAGTATACAAGCTGCTCAGAGAATGTCCATACTTGCCATTCATACAGATTAACTACATACAGAAAAATGCATTTATACTCTGCATGGCCAGTTTGTGTTCTCTTTGTGGTCCTACAGGTCTGTAATAAAGATATGTTTACAACTTCTTTCAGTACCTTGCCAACTAGATCTATGCTATGTGCCTGTGTGAAAGTGCCATTCTCTGAAATCCAAGTTCTGTGAGCATAGTTTTTAGGTTTATGTTGCTATAAACAATCAATTTGCAAACCACCCCTTCTAATTTTGGATATCTGTTACAAGAGAGAGTGAATGCATACCTCATATAAGATCATTCTCCAGCTTTCTATAGAGGGCATGAGGGCTTCTGTCAGTGTTTTATGTGCTTCTACTGCTTTCACCGAACATATCAAGTATAGATATCACAGTATTGATTACCATATAAGCTATTAGGTCAATATGCCTAGTTATTGATTTTACAGAACAGCCCTAAAGTGAGGGACCATTAAATTTTTTTCAGTTCTAAAAAAATAAAAATAAAACCTTCACAGACCAAACTTTTGATTTTTTTATTTTTCTTTTTTTTTTTTATGTTATGATGGTTTTGCTTTATAGTTCTAAATTATATTGAATAAAAGTAATGTGATCAGAGTACACGTGATTTAAGTAATGTTTCAAGCTGTATTTGTTGTGGTTGAATTATTTTCATTTAGTAAAAAGTTAGAGTACACACCCTTAACCACATATTTGAAGCTGTAGCAGCCTATCTCTGTGGGTGCTGTAACTAAACATGTTTTTTTTCTTCAAGCAAACCCCAAATCCAAGGTAATTGTACAAATTTGTCAGCACACCAAACATTTCAGTGTTAGATGAGTATTTAGTATTGAGAATCTCATAAAGGCAAAACAAATACATGTAATATAGCATGTAGAATGTATATGGGATCCCACCACAATGGGTGCTAAACTACACAATAGTAAAATGAGTCACTGCTAATAAGCAAAACATATGTATGGGTTTGTTATCCCCTACTCTGTCCTATCAACCTATATACAGGAAAGGAACAGAAAAAGTACCAAAAAGAAGTAGAAAGCCAGCCTGGACCCCCATTATTAGGGGTGGAGGTTGGAAAAGAACAAGTTTCTTGGGCAAACCTATTAGTTCTAACGAAACCGGAAGTCAGGCGGTGGCAGAACTCGATAAGTGTCGACAGATCACCGGCCCAAGTGGCTCCGTCAGCTAACGAAGGGAAGAGGGAGGAGTCCAGTGACGTCATGGACATAGATGTCACCGGACTCCTCCCCCTTCCCTTCGTTAGCCGACGTAGCCACTTGGAGAAGGGGAGGAGTCCGGTGCCGTCGATGTCCGTGACGTCACCGGATCTCCGACGGGACTCCCGGAAGCCGGCGGAGAGGTGAGTGTTTTAATTATTGATAAAAAATTTTAACGATTAAAATTATTTTGAACGATAAATCGGGTAATTGTTAATTTCCCCAGCCCTAATAGTTGCATTTTATTTTGAAGCATGACATTTGGCAAGTGGCCCCCATGGGAGAAGCTTGAGTTTGTGCTTTACAAGAATAGAAAGATATAAGAAGGCCTGGGTGTGGGAAAAAGATATGCAGACTTGCACAAAAAGACTTCACCATCACTTATGCATTTCTGGTGATGTTTTAACGGTAGAAGTGTTGAAAATTGGTTGTCCTGTCTTCAAATCAGATCTGATAGCCATCTAATAATTCTCTAACAGAGTCTGGGAAACCATGTTTGAAAAAATGTTTGACACCGTTTCTAAAAAGAACTACACCTTTGCACATTGTGGATCCCCATTGTTGTAAAAATTTAGAAAAAGGCTAAACTTCCCAATTCCTAACTCACAAAATGTAGACCCGCAGATCCACTGGGGGGAATTTGTCAAAACTGGAGCAGAATCTGCAGCAGCTGAATCAGCGTCTCTTCCATTTTCAAATCTTAACTGAACAAACTGAAGAGAGATGCTGATTGGTTGCCATAGGCATCTGCTTCAGGTTTTGTCTGCTCCAGTTTTGATAAATTCCCCTATATGTGTATTTACCTTGGTCCTCCAAATTAGTGCCAGGAACGTTCTCTGTACAGTCTTCCTCCTCAGGGGGTTGTGCCAGCTCGCCAGCCAGGCCGCCTTTCTTTCCTCTTTGCTCGTCTTCCTGTGAGAAGGACACGACAGGCAGAATTCTCCTCCAGCGCCTACGATGGGGAGGCTGCTGTATGTCCTCAGAGGAAGAGGAGGACCGCACTACTGTGTATCTCCTCAACTGCCACTATACCAGCCGTAGTCTCCTAGATAGATAGATTTATTTGTCACATACACAATCGTACAAGTATGATATGCAGTGAAATGCTTACACGACTGCAAAAAGAAGAAAGAAAGAATACATTTTAAATAAAACTTTTACATTGCAAAATAAATATAAGTGTTAAATGTAAATATTAAAATTTAAATTTGACTAAAAATGCTAATACAATATGGAATGTAAGTGTGCAAATGCCAACAGCAGCAATACGGGGTAAAATGAATTAAAGTGATGACCAGCAGTGAATTGACCTTTCCTTGACCATTTTCTATTAAAGTGCGGATGTGCAGTAATGTAAGAATACTTATCTAATCAGGCAGTAGATTATATGACTATATAGAGGTCTGATTAAGAGACCGTATAGCCTGAGGGAAGAAACTTCTCCTCAGTCTCTCTGTGTTGGCCTTCAGGGAGCGATAACGCTTCCCAGACCTCAACAAAGAAAAAAGTCCATTGTTGGGATGGCTGAAGTCCCTCATAATCTTCCTGGCCTTGGTCCAGCACCGCTTGCTATAGATCGAATTCAGGTCAGGGAGTTTAGTTCGGATGATTCTCTCAGCTGCTCGCACCACCCTCTGAAGAGCTCGTCTGTCCTGCACGGTGCTGTTCCCAAACCAGGTAGTGGTGTTTCCCATCAGGATGCTCTCTATGGTGCAGGAATAAAAATTTCTAAGCACCCTAGCGGGCAGTCTGAAGTCCCTTAAGCGTCTAAGATGGAAAAGACGCTGCCGAGCCTTTTTCACCACGGTGTTGATATGACAGGACCATGACAAGTCCTGCGTAATATGTACACCGAGGTATCTGAAACTATCCACTCTCTCCACTGGGCTTCCATTGATCATGGGGGTCTGGTATTTTCTCTCCTGCTTTTTACAGAAGTCCACTATCAACTCCTTTGTCTTGCTGACATTGAGGAGGAGGTTGTTCCTCTGGCACCAATTCTCCAGATTCCTAATCTCCTCCAAATAGGCCGTCTCATTGTTGCCGGCAATCAGTCCGACCACAACAGTATCATCAGCAAACTTGATGATAGTAGTGGAGTTGGTAGTGGCCATGCAGTCATATGTGTACAGTGAGTACAGCAGGGGGCTCAAAACACAACCCTGAGGGGCTCCAGTGCTGAGGGTGAGTGAGGCTGAGACATATATGCCCATTCTTACTGCTTGTGGTCTGCCAGTAAGAAAGTTGGAGATCCACTGACACATAGATGGGCTAATCCCCAGGTGTTTCAACTTGGTGGTGAGTATGGAGGGAATTATAGTGTTGAACATTGAACTGTAGTCAACAAACAACATCCTGACATAGTTGCCCTTAGTGTCTAAGTGTGTGAGCGATATATGAAGGAGGTGGGTGATAGCATCATCTGTTGAACGATTTGGCCGATAAGCGAACTGTAATGGATCTAGTGTGTTTGGTAGTGAAGATATGATGAAGTCTCTGACCAGTCTCTCAAAGCACTTCATCACTACTGAGGTCAGAGCTACAGGGCGGTAATCATTGAGAGAAGCAGGATGGGATTTCTTCTGGACTGGAACAATGATGGACTTTTTAAAGCATGTGGGGATTACCGACTGGCTTAAGGAGAGATTGAATATTACTGTGAACACAGGTGCTAGCTGGTCAGCGCAGGCTCTGAGGACCCGACCTGAGATTCCGTCCGGTCCTGCTGCTTTCCTGGTGTTCACTGATGGTGAGACCACCAAAACGCACTACGCAGTGCAACCTTATTGAAAGACTTTTTCTTCATGTTTGATGTTTGCTGAGGAAAGCCTTTTACTTTCCCGTTTTGCTGAAGAAAGCTGTTTGTTCTGTTACTGCTGGATGAAATAAAACTGTAAAGTAAAAGGTAAACGGTAAATCGTACGACGGTTCGATCATCGGACGAAAAGTTTTGTCCGATTTATTACAAGGTGTATGGGCAGCTTTAGAGTTAGTAAATCAGGCCCACAGTCTCCGGTTGTGGAGCCAACACTACACCCTAGCAAACTGTCATTCTTTTGGGCCTGTCTTGCTGATCATAATGACCACAGATGCAAGTGGCGGAGATATAGTGGATATGGTTCACTTTTGTTTCTCATTGACCATTACATATTGACTGTTGCATATTGACAATTGCATATTGACCATAGTTTGGTAAGGGTTGAAAATTACCATACCCTTTAGGGATGCACCGATACCGAGTATTTGGGCGAGTACTCGTACTCGCCCAAATGCTCCGATGCCTAGCACGAGTACTTCCTGTATCAGGAAGCCGGGCAGCGTGTAATGACGTAGCGCCTGGCATTTTGATTGGCCGGGAAGCTGGCTTAATGCTCCCTCGTCATCTCGTGACGAGGGAGCATGGAGCCGGCCTCCCGGCCAATCAGAAGGCAGGGCGTTGCGTGATTACACAGAGCCCGGTTTCCTGATTGGCCGGCCAGACGGCTCCGCCTGGGTACTGGAGGAAGGCCGCGTTCTGGCTGGAGAGGCCCCGAGGGTGACAGGCTGGACATACAAAGGTAAGAGGGGACTTTCTTGTTATTCGGGAAGCCGGGTGGCTAGTCTTTACATGCTGCCCGACTTCCCGGCTAATCAGGAAGCCAGGTGGCAAGTCATTACACGCCACCTGGCTTCCTGAATGGGACTTCCGTTACTCGGTAATTGGTATCGAGTAGTACCGAAAAATAATTATCGGTACTCTGTACCAAAATACCGGTATCAGTGCACCCCAATACCCAATAAATGATATAAGGGTTTTATTTAAATATCAAAATCTAATATTATGTGACGCAACAGTGTGGTAAAATGGATGTTCAGAGTAGCCTGTCTTGTACACAAAGATTAGGTGTAAGATACTAATTTGGCCGAATGCCCAGAATTGGCTGAGGCTTACTGCAGTGTAAATTATGTTAAAAAAATAAAATAAAAAATAAATATGCAAACAATTTTAAGTATGAATAATTTATTCGAGAGCAGAAAATTACATTTTGCGATGAATGCAAATACTGAACATTAAAATGAATATTTAGTTTATTTTTTAATATTAATATGGACATTGCCTTTCTTTTCAATTGAGCACAACTTTCCTGCAACAACGGAACATGAGATAAGATGGAAAGCCTCTTGGTGGCAATGCAAAGATAACCCAGGGTATTGCGCAAATAGCAAGTCCCTGAGTAAACAAAAAACAACCTGGTGTATGATGCAATTGGTAGCTTTCTATGTAACTTAGCATAGACAAGGAGAATTGTATGCCTATTCCATTCTAGTGACCAGACAAGATGGAAGTGACCATTAAAGAGTCTACCAGAAATGAACCTGGCTGGGTGTCCTTCTCTGTCGTGATTGGGGGAAGGTGGTATGATTCAATCATGGTGTAGAAGTAAAACTGAACAGAACTTGAGTTTTATCTTAACTATGGTTTACTGAGTCCACCAGCATCTCTATCAAGAGACTGCGAGTGAGCCCACTGCTTTGGGCAGCAGAGACCTATTCCGTAGAGTACTCCTGCTGACTGAGGAAACTGTTTTACCCATGTGGTTGGTTTTCATGTATGCTTTTTCTGCATGATATTGTTGAATACCTCCAACACATGTTATAGTATCATTTGCACCACAACTTAGAGTGGTTATTTAGACAAATACTAGCCTCACACTACCGAGCCGATCAAAATAGACTTTGCCCATAAATAAATCACTGCTGAATGGTTTGCCCTGGTGAAGGTTAAAGGAGAACTATGGGGTCAGTGTTTTTCCCCATAGTTCTCCTTAGGGTAAGGGGAGGACACAAACTAGCGTCCTCCCGTTACCCTAAGCTCAGTATTCCGCGAGCTACAGCTCGCGGTATACTGAGACGCCGCAGCCGGAGCGGATCCCGACTTAGATGACGGGATCCGCCCAGCTGCGTGAGTGACAGCTGGCTCTGCCTATCTAGAGGCAGAACCAGCTGTACCCGCCCCCTCCCCCGTCCGTTCCGCCAGTCAGCGCTGGCAGAGCGGAGAGGGGAATCCAGCCCCTCCCCCTGTCACGGCAGAGAGCCGTGACAGGATCGAGAGGCGAGCGAACCCGGTATGTGTTCGCTCACCTCCCGATCTACTGAGCCGACCTGTGACAGTCTCATTGTCACAGGTCGGCTAGAACTATGAGGTGAGTGAAAAGCACTCACCTCATAGTTCTCCTTTAAGCCTCCACTGAAGCAAGTGATGATGTATTCTGGGAGATCTCTCTGATACATTTAAAAACTAACGTCAAGGCAAAAAAAAAAAAGACAATTAGCAGTACATCTCTGCTATACATGTACATTTCCCTTGCCCATTGTCTTTTGCTTAACTATTCAATCTCTCCTACACTAAGATCTCTATAACATAAAGGCTAATCACTTTGTAGTCCAAGAAAAGAACTAGGACGGCTCTTTGAGATAACACATGGTGTGTGCAGAGTACACAGGACAGCTCCTAAAGTGGCACTAAACTCAGGTACCCTAACTATAAACAACAAATATTTTTTTTTGTGTATCACTCAGCTGTAGATCCTGAAATCATCTCTGAATTGGTGCTGACACTGTCCTTCCTTCTGGAGCATGGCTACTTTTTGTTCCCCATGGTCCCTGTGTGTGTTGTAAAGTAGCCATCGCTCCAAGCTCACTCCCGTGATGGACTACAATCTCACCACAAATTAGAACATAAGTCACCCAGGATCCCTGGCTTGATTGTTTACATACAGAACACGTCAACCAGCCACCTGACTCTGGGGGTAACATCATTGTGGTTGATGCTGGAGCTTCATCGCTGGATAATGTGATTGATGCTGGATTTACATTGTGGGACATTGTGTTTCCTAATAAAGGACTTTTTCAGTGTGTGTGCCTTTGTTTGCTTTTTACATTTTTTTCGGGAAGGTGTAAGAAGGGGTACTCATGTACCTGTTACTCATTTCTCAGGGGGGGGGGCATTTCTACGGGGTTCCTTCCAGATTCTGATAAGTCCCTACATCCATTTTGGGGGACAGGGTATGATGATGAAGTCCTTGCTTCATATAGGGATATGCCTTGCAAGGGGGGTGCATGCTTGCTGCCCTCTATTTCCTTGCCACCCAGGCTGCAGGCCTGGATAAGGTCCTGGTATTTGTAGTGGAAACTCTTATTTCATTTTTTTAAATGTGCTGGGGATGCCAGGAATCAGTGTGTGAGGGCAAACAGGTCCTGTGTCTCCACCGAGCTAAATGAGCTGCCTGCATGTTTCTTCCTACAGCCCCATGTGAATGAGACCTAAACCAGAGAAAAGGGCCTAATAAATATCACAAAATGCAGTGAGTGGTTTTTGATCACCATAGGTGTATAGCAAGAGAATAACGGAAATGAAAACATCCAAACATATGGGAAAGGGCAGGAAGTAACAATAGTGATCTAAATGAGGTGGGAGCAGAAAGGGAGCTGCTATGCTGGTTCCGCCATATCTTATCCTACAGTTGATTCATTATTTAATTCCCAAGGTGGCTTCCTATTTCCATCCTAAGCAAGAGTGGGTTTTTCAAGTCTTCCTTACAGAATATACTCAATAAATTGGATGTCTCCTGTACGCTCTATGGCTATCCACGGATGGAAATTTGGCAGATTGATGTGAATCAGTTGAAATTCAAGCCGTAGGTGGCCCTGCAGACACAATCCGGCTTAACAAACTTCAACTAAAAAAATCAAGGGAGCCAGCTAGAAAAACGTCAGCCAATCAGCTTCAGTCAGTGTTCATGTATTCTGACAGCTGCGGATGCTGTCTGTCAGAATACAATAGCCGTCAGGGTGGGGCTTGTCAATACATGCTGTTTAGCACACACAGGAGCTTCTTGGAAATGTAAGGGGTCATTCACTCAGCTGCCTCCGGCAGCTGAGTGAATAACCGACCCGAAGTGAACTGCACTTCGGCTCTGTATGGCTGATTCCAGCCGTACATCGGCTAAAATCAGCCATACATCGGCTGGCTTCAGTCAGCCGAACATGCTCAGCAGAAGCCATTCGTCTGAGCCGAAGCTCCGGCAGTTCACTCGCTGCCGTTTGCCCCTATTCTCATGGGAGCCAAATGTCAGCGAGTGAATAGCTGAATACTGCCGAGCGGCATTCGACTCTGCTATTCTGCCCGCTACCTTGGAGGTTTATAATATATATATATATCTATATAAAAAAAATGTAAACAAAAGAAAAATAATTATAAAATGTAAAAAAAAAAAAAAGTTAAAGTAGTAAAAAAAAAACAGCATGGGGTCCCCCTCCCGATCCATACCAGACCCTTTGGGTCTGGTAGTAATGTTAGGAGGGATCCCTATTTGTAAAAAAAATAAAAATGCGTGGGGTTCCCCTCAAAAGTCATACCAGGCCGTTTAGGTACCCCACCACCAAAAATCGGGGGGGAACGTGGGGTCCCCCCTAAAATTCCTTACCAGACCCTTGATCGGAGCACAGGCCTGGCAGTGCAGGAGGGGAGGAGTAAGCGCCCCCCTTCCCCTGCCATACCAGGCCACATGCCCTGGGCGGGTGCTTTTCCAGGGTCCCCCTGGAAAAGCACCTTGTCTCTGTGCCGATGGGGACAAGGGCCTCTTCCCCACAAGCCCTGAGGCATTGGTTGTGGGGGTCTGTGGTCAGGGTGGCTTATTTGCATCAGGGTACCTCTTTATTAAGGGGGCACCCAGATGCTTGCCCCCCTTGTGAATGAGTAAGGGGCAAAATTTAAATAAAGAGCCCACACTTTTGAAAAAATTATTTAATAGAAAAAAAAACAAAGAATTTTGAGCTTTATTAAAAAAAATCCCAAAAATGATTCCAACGACGTAATCCTAAGGTCAATAATGGCGTCCAGTGTTGTCCATGACGACAACAACTCGTCAAAAAAAAACCCCGCTGACCAACTCCCGTCGCAAAATGACATTCTGACAGATGCCAGCAAAATATAAACAATTGGGCGGAGCTAGTTGTGACATCCCCGCTACAGCATGCATGCTGTATCCAGCGACTGATGTTACATAGTATTTGAGGTTGAATAAAGACATAAGTCCATCAAGTCCAACCTATTGCGTGTAGGCATTTATGAGCTGGTGTGTGCATGTATATGTGTCCATGTGTGATTTGAAGAACCCTCTGCGCCCTGTGTGGTGAAATTTTTTTTCCACCAATTTTTGGTTGTGCCCTCTGGTCTTTGTTACGGAGCTAACCGTAAACAGTTTGTTACTAAGGTTGCTGTTGCCCTTGAATAGTTTATACAGGAAAATCATGTCCCCCCTTAATCTCCTAACCTCCAACGAGAACATATTTAATTGTAACAACCTTGTTTCATAGTTCAGATCCTCGAACCCCTTGATGAGTTTGGTTGCCCTCTTCTGGACTTTTCCCAGCTCAAGGACATCCTTTCTGAGTATCGGTGACCAAAACTGGACCACATACTCCAGATGTGGCCGAACCTATGATCTGTAAAGTGGCAAAATTATAGACTTGTCTCTGCAATACATTCCCTTCTTAATGCAAGACAGGACTCTGCTTGCTTTATTTACAGCAGTCTGGCACTGCAAGCTATTCTTCAGTCTGCGATCTATAATGACCCCCAAATCCGTCTCCGACTTCCCTAGTGGCACCCCCATAAGTGTATAATCCATTTGCTTATTTTTAACTCCAAGGTGCATTACCTTGCATTTATCGACATTGAACTTCTTCTGCCATACAGTTGCCCACTCTATGATTTTCTCCAGGTCCTCCTGTAATGTTATAATCTCTAAGTCTGTGTCTACAACCCTCCCAATTTTCGTATCATCAGCAAACACTGAGATATGACTTCTCACTCCCTCCCCGATATCATTAATAAATAGGTTAAAAAGCATGGGAACCCAGCACAGAACCCTGGGGCACGCCACTCATGACCTCCGCCCCCGTCTGAAAAGGTGCCATTTACTCATACTCTTTGTGTACGTTCTTGTAGCCAGTTTTCTATCCACGTGCACACTAGTTCATCTATGCCCATAGCCCTTAGCTTGTATAACAAGCGTTTATGTGGCACCGTATCAAATGCTTTGGCAAAGTCCAGATATACTACGTCCACCGGCCTCCCCCCATCCAGATCTCTACTTACCTCTTTGTAAAAGGTCAGCAGGTTGGTCTGGCAAGAACGATCCTTCCTAAATCCGTGCTGCACATCACTTATTATATTATGATCCTGGACAAATTCCACTAAGTAGTCCTTAATAATTCCCTCTAACAGTTTACATACTATGCATGTCAGACTAACTGGTCTATAGTTCCCCGGTTGGCATTTTGACCCTTTTTTGAATATAGGTACCACATTAGCCCTTCGCCAGTTGCTTGGCACTCTATCAGCCATTACGGATTCCTTAAAAATGAGGAACAATGGTCTCGTTATCTCCTTGTTCAGTTCCTTGAGTACCTTGGGGTGTAGATTATCGGGTCCTAATGCTTTATTTGCATTTAGTAGTTTAAGCCTTTGTTGTATCCCAGTTTCCGTCAACCACTCAGGTGTATTTCTTGGTAAATTTTGTGTTTTATCATGTACATTAAACCCGTCTGTTTCCTCAGTGAATACTGATGAGAAGAAAGTATTTAGCGCCTCGGCCCCTCTCCCTGTTGCTTGTGAGTAGCGACCCATTTATGTCCTTTATTGGGCCTATCTGTTCCTTTCTCCCCTTTTTACTGTTTATGTAGTGAAAAAACTTTTTGGGGTTCTTTTTACTTACTTCGGCGATATATTTTTCACATTCTATTTTAGCTGCCCGGACTACCAGTTTACATCTTTTATTACATTCTTTGTAGTTTTGGAATGCCAATAGTGTCCCCTCCGTTTTATACTTAGTAAATGCTACTTTTCTTTTTCCTTAATGTGTTTCTTTACCGATTTACTTAGCCATATTGGCTTTGTTTTTGATCTTTTACTTTTGTTACCCAGCGGTATACACCTGGTAATAGCATTTTTTAATTTGTTCTTGAAACAGTCCCACTTTTGGTCAAAGTTTAGTTTATCAAATAAGTTTTCCCATTCGATTTCACCCACTATATTGCGTAGTTTATCAAAGTTAGCCTTCCTGAAGTTTAGGCTTCTCGTCCGCCCATCCCCCTTCCCTTTCTTGCACCCAATATTAAAAGCAATCACCTTGTGATCACTATTACCCAGTGTCTCCCCGATTACAATTAACTCCGTATTGTTGGTGATGATCAGATCTAGGATTGCATTTTCCCTGGTGGGGATCTCAACCATCTGATCCATGATATTGTCTCGCAACATATTAAGAAAACGGGCTGCCTTTGCCGATTTGGAAGTTCCATTTGCCCAGTTGATATTTGGGTAATTGAAGTCTCCCATTACCACAACATTACCCTCTTTCCCCGCTATTTCTATTTGTGATTGTAGGTGGGCCTCCTCCTCCTCCCCTATATTCAGAGGTTTATAACAGACACCCACAATAAGTTTACGGTTAGGGGTAGGTTCTATCCATAACGATTCAACATCATCTCCACCAGCTGACGCAATATCGTCACGGATGTGAATAATGAGGTTATTTTTAGCATATAAACATACCCCCCCTTTTTGCCAGCCTGTCCCTCCTGAACAGGTTGTACCCTTCTATGTTAGTAGCCCAATCATGTGTGTCGTCTAACCATGTTTCTGCTATTCCTACTATATCATAGCCCTCCTCGAGTAACATAACTTCAAGGTCTTCTATTTTACTTACTAGACTTCTGATGGGTTACGCAAAATGTCTTAAATAGGAATGGGGGGGGTTACATTTATATTAGGGGGGAGGAGTTTAGTCTTGCCTAGGGCTACGCTAAACTGTGCGGATGGAGGAATCCCACTGGGCCAAGCTTCAGTATCTTGCTAGTCGGCCCTGCTGGTTCTCAAAATACCGGAACAATCTGATTGGATGCAGTGGCGTAACCAGAGTTATTGGCGCCCGGGGCAGAACATTTTTTTTCGCCCCCGCCCCCCATATTATATAAACATCCCCTAGAACTGTACCCCCCACCCCCACACATATATATCAGCAGTTGTTACGCCACTGATTGGATGCAGGGATTGTTCAGGTATTTTGACAGCCAGCGGGGCGCACTAGCAAGATACTGAAGCTTGGCCCAGCAGGAGATTCCTCCATCCACACAGCGTTTAGCGTAGATGGAGGAATCTATTGCACTTTTTCCATCTGATCATAGAAAATCTGCAGATAATTGTAAGGTGTATGGCCAGCTTTAGACAGCTGCCACACAGGTGTCTCCGTTGAAAGATTTCCCCTTTGCCTAGGGTTGCCACCCATCTGGTTTTGACCAGGACAGTCCGGTTTTGGTGTGTTGTGTCCGGGTGCCCAGCCAGCGGGCACCCGGACACAAGACACTCAGTGCCGACACTGGCAGTTTACATTTTCTGACAGGTGCAGCTGCCGAGATCCTTGTCAAGTGCGATCTCGAGCAGCCGCACTGCCCGGATCTTCCCCTGAGCAGCCAGGCCACCTGAGGATATCAGGGTGCCAACCCAGAACAACACAGAGTATGTAACTTCATATTATTTTGTATTGCTGTATAATGTATTGCTGGGATTTGTAGTTATCTATAGCTGGTCTCCTTACTCCCTCCCCTCACTCTTGCCTCTCCTCACGCTCTCCTTTTTATTCATCCCTAAAAAATTTGCCGTGTGCGGCGCTAGAGTGTTCGGGTTTCACTTTAAGAAAAGGTGCCAACCATATCTTTACCTCTGGGGACAGTTCCAAAACTGTGGATATCCCCTCAATTTCTCTATTAGTGACAAGTCACCAGAACAAATAGAGGATGAATCACCGCAAAAGTAACACAGGCAGCGACAAATATTTGACAGTGTCCAAGCCTATCACTCAAACTAAAAAAAAAGAAATGTTTTGCTTAGCTGTACACTTTAAAATATATATAACTAAAACGCGCTAATAATAGTCTCCCTTGAATAGATTGTACCGGTGCCTGAGCTGGTAATTACATTTCAGACTAGACACGTTACAGTAGACTCCATCCTAATAAGACTGCCTGTATACAGCCACACTCCCCAGAAGTTTCAGCGCAACTTCCCCAGCCTAACTAGGTTCCTCCCACTCGCCGTCACTCTAGCTTATTGGTTGCTGACGTGTCCGTGACGTCAACACACACCCGCAAAGGTTCCCCCTTCTCACAAGCTAAAGTTTCACTTTACTAAGCAGTCGTACTTATCTTCTCTTCACAAAAGAGTACGTGCGTTAATGATATAATGAAACGATGGATTAAAAATCATCCATGTGCTGACCGAATCCTCTGTAGCCCTTAGCAACGGTGGGACGGCTAAACTTCAGCCTGGCGACGAACGTGTCGTACGCGGTGATGTCATGTTTCTGCGCAAGCGCGCTGTTCTCTGAGCGGCTGCGCGTGACGTCACTTGCGACGGTGGAGGGTGCTCGACCTAAAGCGGCTGTCTCCTGTGCCCGCGTTTGGTGAAGTGTGGGTGGCCTTTGAGGTTGCAGAGTACCGGTGTCGTTATAAAGCCGTCTGGGAGAGTTTTTAGTCAGCGGAGCCGTTCTGTCACCTGGTCCATCATGAGCGTGGAGGCGTACGGGCCCAGCTCGCAGACCCTCACATTCCTCGACACGGAGGAGGCCGAGCTGCTAGGGGCCGACACTCAGGGCTCCGAGTTCGAGTTTACCGACTTCACTCTGCCCAGCCAAACTCAGACGCAAGGGCAAACTCAAAGCCAGCTGGACGGACAGGTAGGCCCGAGCGCGCTTCCGGTATTCGGCTTGGGGAGGGAGAGAGGGCCTGGCGTGTCACCTGCGCGCTCTGACAACAGGGGAAGGTTGGGGGCACGTGCGGCTTGACGTCTGCCTGTCATTGAAGTCTGCTGTGTACCGGGCCTGTCATAGCTAAACCTGGAAGCTCGGCTTTTTCTTATAGCTTTCCTAAGTATCATTGCGGGCAGCTCGTTCGCTGTTGCTTGAACTGTAAACGTTATTTCATCTAGAAATGCTTTGTTTTACTCTATTTAAAGCCACATTTTGTATATTGTAGAGGAGGTTCATGTTAGGTTTTTATTATGTCTGTATTCCCAATGGGAAGATAAGTAAAGATACTGACAGGTTTACATTGCAAGTCTTTTCTGTCATAGATCTTCTGTCATAGATCTTCCTTCCTGTATGTCAGAATTTTTTTTCTGTACATTGAACCATACATGCGCAGGTCAGTGCATAGGCTTGGGAGAATCCCTTGCCCAGACAAGGTAACTTGTGCGCATGTGCCTTGCCTGACCCTAGCCAAGCAGATGATCAGAGATGGGTGTGAAATTTTGCTTTTAGAGCAACTTTGTTTCAGTGACAACTGTCTAGTGATTTGCATGTCAGTGGAAGGAACCCCTGAGAGAACTGCAAGGGACACAGAAGGTTATCACTTGTGGAACTGTGAGTTTCAAAAGAAAGATGCAGCATATCACACATGTTTGTTTCGTTTTCGGGGCCTGGTCAATCAAGTGGCAGATGCTTCAATCTTTTTCTAGGTTTTTTAAGTCATCAGTGAAGGAAGGGGTCGCTTGGGAAGAAGTCCCCCATAATGTGCTAATATGCTGTCCATGTTGCACATTATGGCTAAAAGCTCCGGGGGGTTGCTTTACACCCGCATTAACCATTCCTTTTTCCAAAAGATGCACTTTTTATCATTTCTAGAAAGTGAAATTTGAGAAAGTACTCCAGCATTAGGTTGCCCATAGACTTATCCTTTTTTTTTCCCCCTCCCCTTGTTCACCCACTTGGGGTAAAACAAACCTCTCAAATGCTGCCATCATAATACCCAATCAGTGACTGTACCTGATTGGCTGTAGTTACTGCTCGGCCATTAAAATGGATATGTCAACAGGACCTCACATTTCATCTGACATTTGAGCAGGGTTTGGCCAGCTTTATTAAAAGCCAAGATTTTAAAGTGTTTTTTTTCCTTTAGTTATCAGGAGCATGGCTAATACAGTTATTATTGTGGACCGATCTCTTTGCTTTTAGACTATATGTAGAGCCAAAAGGGAGGTTATAATTAACACCTTGTGCCAGGTTTCTTTCTTGTCTGTGTCCTGTTGGTGAGATTTCCCCACTTTAAACAGTGTTCAATGGAACAGGTGTGCCCATTGAAAAGATTCCACCTCACCTTCTGTTCCTATGACAGCTCCACAATATTGTGGACCATCACAGTTCACCAGACAGTGGTCACTAGGACAAATGGTGAAGGCAGGGTTCACAGACGGCAATAAAAAGTGGACAGGGATTTTTTCCCTTCCTCAGCCCAAAATCTTGTCTAAAATGGCAAGACTTTACATGCACTTTAAAAGGTATCATTCTCATGAATCAGTGGAGCACACACATTTGAATTGTAAAACCCATTAAAGTATTTTTTTTCCATAAATAAAAACCCAATGCCTTCTCATCTTAAGTAAAAACTACCCTTTCAGTGCCCAATTGGTAAATCCTGGTTAAAGTGACCCTAAACTCAGGAGTTAAACCGTAAAAATGCATTCAAGTACCTTTTTTAAAGGAGAACTATGGGGTGAGTGCTTTTCACTCACCTCATAGTTCTAGCCGACCTGTGACAATGAGACTGTCACAGGTCGGATCGGGAGGTGAGCGAACACATACCGGGTTGGCTCGCCTCTCGATCCTGGGGCTGGATTCCCCTCTCCCCGCTCCGATCTGCCAGCGCTGACTGGCGGAACGGACGGGGGAGGGGGCGGGTACAGCTGGCTCTGCCTCTAGATCTACGTCGGGATCCGCTCTGGCTGCGGCGTCTCAGTATACCGCGAGCTGTAGCTCGCGGTATACTGAGCTTAGGGTAACGGGAGGACGCTAGTTTGTGTCCTCCCGTTACCCTAAGGAGAACTATGGGGAAAAACACTGACCCCATAGTTCTCCTTTTAACTATTAACAAAAATGTATATTTGTGTATCACTCAGCTGTGGATCCTCAAATCCTCTCTGAATTCATGCTGACACTGTCCTTCCTTCTGGAGGGTGGCTACTTTTTGTTCCCCATTGTCCCTGTGTGTGTTGTAAAGTAGCCACTGCTCCCAGCTTGCTCCTGTGATAGACTACAATCTCATCTTTAGTTTACTAATTTGTATAGAGATTGTAGTCTATCACAGGAGCGATCTTGGAGTGGTGGCTACTTTACAACACACACAGGGACCATGGGGGAAAAAAGTAGTCACCCTCCAGAAGGAACGACAGTGTCGGCACCAATTTAGAGATGATTTGAGGCTCTACAGTTAAAGGAGAACTATGGGGTTAGGGCTTTTCCCCATATTTCTCCTTTGGGTAACGGGAGGAAACAAATTAGCGTCCTCCCAAGCTCAGTATACCGCGAGCTACAGCTCGCAGTATACTGAGACGCCGCAGCTGAAACAGATCCCGACAGTTATGCCTGGATCCACCGAGCTGCGTGAGTGACAGCTGGCTCTGCCTATGTAGAGGCAGAGCCAGCTGTACCCGCCCCCTCCCCCGTCCGTTCCGCCAGTCAGCGCTGGAGGAGCGGGGTATCCAGTCCCTCCCCTGTCACGGCTCTGTGCCGTGACAGGATCGAGAAGTGAGCGAACGCCGGTATGTGTTCGCTCACTTCCCGATCTACTGAGCCGACCTGTGACTGTTTAATTGTCACAGGTCGGATCGAACTATGAGGTTGAGTGAAAAGCACTCGCCTCATAGTTCTCCTCTTTTTTAAAGGAGAACTATGAGGCGAGTGCTTTTCACTCAACCTTTTTAAAGGAGGAGAACTATGAGGCGAGTGCTTTTCACTCAACCTCATAGTTCCAGCTGACCTGTGACAATTAAACTGTCACAGTTCGGCTCAATAGATCGGGAAGTGAGCGAACACATACCGTCACTCGCTTCTCGATCATGTTCCTGCAGAGAGTGGTGACTGTTGCTCACGCTCCTATCCTCCACTGCTGACTGGCGGAACGGACGGGGAGGGGGCGGTTACAGCTGGCTGTGCCTCTAGATAGGCAGAGCCAGCTGTCACTCACACAGCTGGGTGGATCTCGACAGTAATGTCGGGATCCGTCCCGGCTGGGGCGGTCTCAGTATACTTTGAGCTGTAGCTCACGATATACTGAGCTTTGGGTCACGGGAGAATGCTAGTTTATGTCTTCCCGTGACCCTTCGGAAACACTTACCCCATAGTTCTCCTTTATGTGATGCAAAAATAAGGTACAGTATTGTTAATAAGGTACTTAAATACATTTTAAAGCTTTTAACTCCTAAGTTTAGTGTCACTTTTAAGTTTACGTGTAAAATAATAGTGTAATACTTTTGTTCCTTGCTCCAGCAGCCTTCATTAAAAATTGCCAGAAGCCAGTAAAAGGGCAAGCAAGCTTCAGCACTGATGTAGTGACAAAACTTTGCCTGTCAACTGCTTGGCATTTGACCTTTTAACCGCTTGAAGACCAGGTGTTTAGACCCCTTTCCTGGCCAGGCTATTTTTCAGTATTCAGCGCTGCGGTACTTTGACTGACATTTATTCCGTCATGCAACGCTGTACTGAAATACATTTTATACCATTTTTTTGGGGACAGATAGAGCTTTCTTTTGGTGGTATTTATTCACCACTGGGGGTTTTATTTTTTTCTATATTTCAGAATTTTTTTTAAAAAAAAAGTGTTTTTTACATTGTTCGGAAGCAATTATTATTACCCAATTTTTTGGTAAAATAGAAAAGACGGGGTCATGTCGGGTAAATAGACACCAAACATGTCAAGCTTAAATTGCGCGCACCCGCGAAATCGCAAAAAAACTACAATACCCAAAATTGACCATTGGCGACGCTTTAAAAGCTTTTACCGCTCATCAGTTTAGTGTTATCAGTGATTGATGGCCCTAAAATTATCGCTCTCACTGCGACGTTCATCGTTTTCGCAGGTATGCGCACCTGACGCATGTTTGCGTGTATGTATGGGTGGGGATCTTTTATAAATGATTTTTTTTTTTACATTTCTTTTATGTGTGATTTTAAGTTTATTTTGGAAACTTGTGTTTTTTTCCTATTTTTTTTTTTCCACTTTATTGCGATCACATAGAGGGCTAAGAAACCCCTCTATGTGATAGCAAAAAAATGTGGCAGGTCCTCCTTTATGGAGACATCAGGGGTCTCCAAGACCCCTAATGTCACCTAGGACTCCCCTGAAGAAGCTGATGAAGCAGAGATCTGCTTCATCAGCTTCTCTCCAGCGTCTGAAGTTGGAGAGTGACACAAGAATGCGGAAGTGAAGTAATATTCACATCACTTCCGCATTCTAGCAGCGCAGAGGGGACCGGACGGAGCTCGTGTACCGAGTTTCGTGTTTCTCACTCGCGCCCTGTGGCGCGCAGGTGGGCGTGGCTGAGCAGACGTCTAAAGGCGCTCGCTCAGATCTAGAGACCTCCTCGGCCGGCTGTTTTTTTTTACAACGGCCCTCCCTGAGGTGGTTAACTGCAATATTTATGTGGGTGCTGCTGCAGGTATGTGTAAGCACCTCAAAGCTGTGTGTGTTCATGTTTTTCATGGATTAGCTGCTTGTTGCTGCCGCTCACCTTTTCTGAATTCCTACACTGTCATAATTTTACAGTTAGTGATCCCTGGGAGGAGACTGAGAAAGATGATTCACCTCTCTGTAGCATGCTGATAACCTCTCAGATTCCTCCTCTCAGTCTAGATCAGGGGTCTCAAACTCAATTCAGTCGGGGGCCACTCGACAATTTTATTTC